AGTCACCCAGCTGGCTTTTTCATGCCTAAGGTAGGACTAGAACTCACTAGTCTCCTGCTGCTTAGCCCATAGTCACCTAGCTGGCCTTCATCCTTAAGGCAGGTCTAGAACTCAACTTCTCCCATTTTCTAGCCTGGTGCCTTATCCACTAGACCAAACTGTCTGGAGAAGGAGCTTAACCAGATCTTGATCAATCCTATCTATGGTAATTGACTCTCTTCGTGATAGAATACTCTAGTAGGGTGAACTAGGCGCTCATTAGGTCTAGTTTTTAACATTATAATGTTTCCAGATGGAAATAAAATGTAGAGGCTGTTTTCCAGCTTATTCTCCATTTACAGATTCCAACTGGATGAAGTAGCAAGGGAAAATGAGCGCAGGGAACACCAGCCTTTCAAAACATTTGCATTGACCTTTCATCTCTACCTTTCCCTCCACCTAAGCTTCGAAAGCCGCTCACATCACAGAGGTGAACGAAGAGACTCGGAAGAAGAGAAGCCAGGTGTTCAGAAAGTCCGCAGAAGGAGCCAGAACCTTCAAGAACCTTCAGGAACCTTCTTGCTGTCAGCCCCCAGCTTGTCTCCGATCAACAGACCCTTCCTCTTTTAAATTCAGACCAGCGCAAGAGGAATTCTGCTTCAACTTTTTCTAAGCAAGGCCCCAGGATGCCGATTTTGAAAAGGCTCCTTTGGGGGGGGGGGAAAGAAGTAACGAGTTGGGGGGGGACATAGAATGGCAAGCATGGCCTATGAAAAGGGGGGGGAGGAGAAATTGCCCAATTGGCAAATTCTAAGTTGATAAAGAAAGACTAATAAAATACGGGGTTTATACATTCAGTGCTGCAGGAGGGAATACCTGATTTGATGCATTTTTTCTATGCAAATGCTTTCCTAAATGGGACAAGTGATTGAGAGCTAAGGAGGGTTGCCTGACAGCGAGATGGACAGCATATAAATTTAAAAAAATAAGCACATAAAATGAACAAGATACTAGCAAATCTGCTTTCTCTTCACACACGCTCTGCAAGCAGATGGAAAAAAAATCAGGTGAGAGGCATGAAGGTGTGAAAATTATCATGGCTTATTTGGATACGCCATTCTTTCAATTCTTCCAATTCTTTAGAAAAAAAGCCAAAACATACGGTCACAGAGGACTGACCACAGGTCATAACCAAGTTTGATCTTTCTGCCTTTAGACGAATATAGTACTTTGCTCTTCCAACTTTCTGTGCAGAAATAGGTTTTTCCTGGCAAGGAGAGAATTGGAAATTCTCCGCTCGTTCCTGTACGCTGAGGCTCAAAAAGCGCAGCTGATCTAACTTGTCTACAATTTAGGCACTTCCGTAAAATCTGGATATCAAGAAGGATTGTCCATGGTGATTTAGCATGCTTTGCGGGAGCCTTTGAATCTTGGCCACTGCATTTATCATTTTGAAACAATGGGGTTCTTTTCTTGGGATGCAGAAGATCATCGGAGGTTCCCACAACCAACACTAAGGTCAGGGAGGACAATCTGTCCGTGCAAACCGCCTCTATGCGTGACTCAAACCTTTGGAGTCTTTGATTGATTTTCTCTCAGCAAGGGAGCAGATCAAGGTATTGTTCCCACTGGATCAAAGCTCAAATAAACAGATCCAGGCTGTGCATCTTGCTTTTTTTTTCTTTTCTTTTTTTAAACTTACTTCTGGAGCAGAGGTAGTTCTCAACTTGCAACCGTTTGTTTAGCAAATTCCATGTTACGATGACAGTGGGAAAAAGCGACTTACCACCAGAACTTTACGCTTATCACTTTTGCAGCATCCCCGCAATCAGGTGATCCAAATTTAGGTGCTTGATATCAGTGAGGCTTTAGTGCAAAGCTGCCATTACGATTAATATTCCATAATTCGTAACTTAGTCTGATGTGTGAACCCAACCACAGTTTACAGAAAATTGGCCATTGGCTAGGCATTTGTGGCTATTTAGGAATTCTGAAAGAGAGATTATCTGCTCAATTATTTTTATCATCCTGAGGATTGAATGTCGGTTAAAGAAATAAGAACAAACCAGACTGGGTCAGCTGGCAGCCTTCAAATTTATACCTTCAGAAATTTTTTTCTAAAAAAACTGTTGGAGGAACAAGATATTTCTGATTTTCCTTGTTCATTTATCCCAAGAGGTCCAAAAAAAGTACTTTTTTTGGGTTGCCTTAGTCAGTTCATTCTCTGAATCCATTGCTTTCAATCCTCTAGAAAGATGTCTTATGTAGCTGGTCCGTGTATCAACTAAAAAATACTTCTTTGGTCTTTTTAGTTGCCAGCATAAAGGGAGTGGGGGAAAAGCAGTGCATTCCTTAAATGCTTCAAATAATTGCTAGGAAGCCGAAGCAAGATTATTACTGGAGAGCATGATGGATGACTCTTGGCTATGGATGTGTCCCATTGGAGAATATACATCCAGGGAGGGTGGGGGGAAGACCAGAATCAAGGGGGAAATGAATGAAGTGTCTCAGAGTTGGCTGCACCCAGGTAACGCCGACAAGGTTACTCCTAATCAATTTTTTTTTTTTTACTCAGATGTGGCTAGAGACTTGGTTTGAATGGGGGTGGATTTGTTGGAGCCCTGACACTGTGACTTACAACAGTTCATTTAGTGACTGATCAAAGTTACAACAGCGCTGAAAAAAGTGACTTGCGATCATTTTTCACGCAACCGTTAACAGCATCCCCATGGTCACATGATCAGAATTCACATACTTGACCATTTATGACGGTTGCAGCATCTTGGGGTCACATAATCCCTTTCTGAGAGCTTCTGAACAGCCAAGTCAATGGGGAAGCCGAATTCACTTGACATCTGTGTGACTAACTTAACTGTGGAAGGAAAGGTTGTAAAATGGGGCAAAAATCATTTAAATGTCCTGCTTAGCAACACAAATCTTGGCCTCCATTGTCGTAAGCCGAGGACTACCCATACCTTGAATTGCTTCCGTGCCCCATACACGATTTTTCTGATTTGACGATTCTTCTGCATCTTTTAAATGTTTAGGTAAAGGTAAAGGTCTCCCTCACACATCCGTGCTAGTCGTCCCTGGCTCTAGAAGGCGTTGTTTATCTCCATTACAAAGCCGAAGAAGAGCCAGCGTTGTCCGGAGATGTCTCCGTGGTCATGTGGCTGGCATGACTAAATGCCAAAGGTGCACGGAACGCTGTTCCCTTCCCATCAAAGGGGTCCCTATTTTTCCACTTGCATTTTTTACCTGCTTTCGAACCGCTAGGTTGGCAGAAGCTGGGACAAGTAATGGAAGCTCACTCCATTACACGGCGCTAGGGATTCGAACCACCGAACTGCCGACTTTTCTGATCGGCAAGCTTACCATCTTAGCCACTGAGCACCCTAACCCCAACCTTTCAATGTTTAGGTGGTAGGAAAAGAAACTCAGTTGTTAAGAACAGGCTATTTTAAAAGCTGTGGCTGAGCGGTCAGCAAATCAAGTGTAAAATAGAAAGTATAGGTGATAGCTTGATATCGCTTTTCCTTCTTCTAGCTCTGGCATTCTCTACAGTAACAAAAAACGTCTGACAGGAACTCAGCTATGTCCAAGTTTGGCTTACAAGGTTCAGCTCTACCAGCCAGCCCTTCTCATTCACTTTTTGGCTGTTCTGGTGATGAATGATATATATGGTGATGACCCTCTTCCAGGATTGGCTAAAGACGGGGGTGGGTGCCATATTTTAATTGGCCTGTTGACTAGATTCCTATGGAATAGCTAAGTGAAAAAGAAGTGTCATAGGAGAAAGAGCTTGACTTCAATAGCCATATAAAGCAACTAACCTCTACTTCCTGACGAGCAAGTATCCTTGGGGATAAATTCAAGAGATTTCAAGATCTGCACTTTCTAATTACTGGTGGTTCTTACAATTCAAAAGGTTGAGTCTTCTATTCTGGCAAATCTTTTTTAAAAGTAGCTTTAGCTTATAGGTTTAGGTCTGCAGTTCTGTTTTGTTTTTAAAGAACAACATTTTTTGCATAAGTGTCCTTGGTTCATTGATTTACAAGTCTTAGGAACTAAATTAAAACATCCTGGATCTGATCACAATTACTGGAATTTAATATCTTGGATTTTGAAAAAACAAGACTATTTATATAGGACTTGCCTATTTGACATAGCAAAGGAGCATTGGATAATTGTGAAAACTATTCCTGAACATAATTGATATTTTTGGTTGGGAGTCTGATTTCCGCTGGTCTGAAGAATCATCTAGTGCTCACCAGCCACCAGGGAAGCAGCAACAGCAAATGGGCATTATGAGAACATGAAATGAGATTTTCTTTAAAAACTTAATTAACAATACATCTAAGAAAAAGGGGCCCTTTCTGTAACTTGCGATTAAGGCTCAGTTGTGTTTGCTGGAGAAGAACATCGTAGAACATCTAAGGTGGATGAAAGTTCTTTAAGCAAGGAAGTTCTAACTTCAATTTTCCAAAATATCCGGTGGAACAGATTTATTTGTGCTCTTAATTGGAGTATTGTAAGTTTTTTCTCCTCCTAAAGAATCGTGAAAACTTGCTGAACGCTTTACCAATTCTGCGATTTATTGCAGCAATATTGAAAGTTCTAGCTGAAGTTGGGTTCCTGAATCTGCTAGAATGGACGAGTTCTGGGTTGCCTATCTGTGCATGGCTGTGTTTGTCTTAATCCTTATTTTGATGAAGCAGAAGCCAGATGATGAGGTCAAGAAGAAGCTAGAGGATGAGAAGCCCTCAACCTCCTATAGTCAGTTTGCCACCCGTGCCGGAAAAGCCCTGGAACACACGGAAGAAGAGCTAGAGGCCTCCATGCAGAAGCTAACTGGCCTTTTGTTTGGCACAGATACTCATAAGCAACATCACTCTGATCACAGCGTCCACCAGAGAGAATCTGCAGGAAAAGGACATCAGGTGAGCCACAATAAAATCTAGACATAATACAACAGATGGGCTGGACTTCAGTTTTGTGGGAATCTCTTGAAGTCCTCAACCTACAAGGTGTAACCAACAAGGTCATTCAGACTGGGTGATATCTTCTCCAATCTACATGTCCGTCTGGATTGGGTCACATCTTGCATTTTTGTTCCTTTATTCAACCGCTTTTGAATTTTCATGGGTTGAAGGGCATCATTTTCCCAGAATGGTCATCCATAATTGTCTCTGAGACAATTGTAAGCTGGTGATATTAGTGCAGAGGTTTCCAAACTTAGCAACTTTAAGACTTGTGGACTTCAACTCCCAGCATAGCTGACTGGAGAATTCTGGGAGTTGAAGTCCACAAGTCTTAAAATTGCCAAGTTTGGGGACCCCTGTATTCATGTCTTCTGCTGACCTCTTTTCCAAATGCCTGAAATTTTTCCCGAGAACCAGAGTCCTCTCCAGAGATTCCCCATTTCCCATAAAGTGTCCAAAGTGATTAAGATTTAGCTTCAATACTTGGGTTGTTGTTTTTTTTGCAAGCAATTTGGTTTTTATTATTTGTTCTTTTGGCAGTGGAGGTATTCTCAACAATTTTCTCCAAAATCACAATTCCAAAGCATCCAGGTGGTTTCATTCATGTTTTCTGATTGCCTAGCTTTCAGTACTTTATGTTACCAAAAAGAAAAAGAAAAAAACTATGGTCCTGACAACAAGTATCTAGGCAAATTTTGGGTTGAGTTTAATTGTAGTTCAGCAGATGGTAGAAAACCTAGACACTTACTTTGCTGGTTGTATAAAGACTTCTCATCCTTAAGACCTTGTATAGGCTTTTTAGAAACAGAATGTAACAGAGTTGGAAGGGACCTTGGAGGTCTTCTAGTCCAACCCCCAGCTCAG